TATGTTTCTAAACTGCATCGCACATCTTTACAATATTCAAAGTGTCCTATAAAATGATGAAGAAAATATACAACTCTTTTCTCAGGTTCTGCAAAGGAAGACAGAGGAGGCAGCAATGGCGACCAAAAGGCTAAAGGAGTTGTTGGAAGCCCGCAAATCTTCTGGACGTGACAACTCAGGTAACTGCTTGAAGTTATTGTTTTTAAAGAAATTCTTTTTTTTTTTCTAATTATTCCTCTGTCTCTTTCAGTTAATTCCAATGGGCATACACCAAATGGACAGGTATATTTGTGTTTCCATCTCGGTGCTGTATGTTATTTGGGAGTCAGCAATAATAGTACGAATTTGACTGCTGTACGAACTCTGCGTTTAACCACCTTGAGAGATCTACAACATACCACCCTATACTTATTGTCAATGTATTTGTGCTTTGGAATTTTTTTCTCTTCCTTTCTGAGCTTGTTCCTTATCCAACAGAGGTCTCATTTCTTACTATGACTGTTTATGTGGGAAAGGTGTTCTGACACATTTTAACTTTGATTTGCATTTATAGAGCAATGAAAAATATCTACAAAAGTGGCTTGATCATGAGCTAGAAGTCTTGGTAAATGTACATGAAGTTCGTTTTGAGTTTGAGAAGCAAAGCCAAGTGTATGTGTATAATACTTTGTAATCTTTTGTTCTTAGTACCCTACAAAACTTTCTATGATGTATTACAATTGCTTTATCACTCAACTTGCTTGTAGGCAAGCTACCTTGGCTGAGGAGTTAGCCCTTTTGAAGCAAGCAGATGAGGTTTCTTCAAATGAATGTAGTCCCCAGCGAGCACAGAACAAACATTCAAGGCATGCACAATGGCCTTATATATTGAATTCATTTGCTTTTAGCCATTTATGAAAATCAGTATGAGTGAAATGCTGGGGTATTTTGTTAACTGAAAATATAAAAGTGATAATGGAGGGCACAACTATTTTGGCCTCTTTGATTGAGTATTTACTCTTGTTCTCACAAGTTTTATGTTTCATAATTGATTAGATTGTTGTCCATGTCACCTACTGTAAGAATGGCAAGAATAGCTTCTTTAGAGAACATGCTGAACATGTCCTTGAATGCCCTCAATGCAATGGCTTCACAACTTTCTGAGGCAGAAGAAAGAGAGCGTGCTGTACATGGACGTGGACGTTGGAATCACATTCGCTCAATTGGAGATGCTAAGAACTTGCTTCAGCATATGTTTAATGCTACCGCAGAAGCAAGGTACTTGTAAAACCTAGTGGAAAACCTTTTTCTTGGGTTGTCTCATTTTTGTGCTTCACTTTCAAAAATTATATGCATAAAATTTTTGCTCTTCTTTTTGTTTTTAATTTTTTCAAAAATAGTTAGTTAAAAAAAATAATTTATGTAATCGGTCAGTTTTACAGAGAAAGCGAAAGTGCTTTCAAGGAAAATATCAAACTACGATTGCTTTGAAAGGCATGTTGCTTCCTTCCACCTTTATGAGGTTCACTATGCTGACCCCGCTAATTCATTCAATTATCAATGTTAATTTTTTTTTATTTTCTGGTGACACAATATTATTTCAAATATTTCTTTTCTTCTTGGTCTTCTTGAGTCTTTTTGAGGTTGAAAATCTAACCCTCCTTTAAGCTTCAATTCATAAGGTGAACATGCTTCAAGAATCAATTATAACACAGATGTCAAATAGGACGGTTTTTTAGTTTGAAACCCAATGCAGAGTTGGCATGATGTGCAATATCATAGAAGATATTTCTTCTTCCTGAACATAGATTACTTCACATGTTTGCTGTGTAAGATTTATTAGTCTGGTACCCTTTTTGTGTCACAGTACCAAGTTTGGAAATGCAGAAATTAAAGACATGAA